GCCGCTGCCGCCCAGCCTCGCGCGGGCGCGCCTGGTCGGGCGCTGCGCGCGGCGCGGCGCCATCCCGGCCCGCCGGGCGCGCAACCCTTTGCGGGCTCCCTGGGCTGCCGGCCGCTGCCCCCGCGAGGCCTCCACCTGCTGCTGGGCCGCCGACCACCCAGCTGGGCCAGCTGCCCCCGGAGGAGGAATAAGGATGAGAGGAGGATTGCACCTTCCTGGTGTGGCTCTACCCTCCTCCTCCTCCTCCTCCTCCTCCTCCCCTTCCTCCTCATTCATTCATTCATTCATTCATTTATTCATTCATTCATTCATTCATTCATTCGTTCGTTCGTTCGTTCGTTCGTTCATTCATTCATTCATTCATTCATACTAAGGCAGAGACGGTCGATGCCTAAACAACAGGAAGAAGGCGAGACAGAGCGGGATAAAGAGGCAGAAGCGACGAGAGAGCCCAGAGAAACCCAAGAACCCCAGAACCAGAACAGGAACCCGCCAACGCACTCCCCCAAGAGGGGAGAAACAGGGAGGAAGAGAGAACGGGCAGGAAGAGAGGGAGGCCGCAGGGGGGGAGCGTAGGCAGGAACCCGTCGCTCCCAGGACAAAGGGCCCCCAAAGGCCCAGTCGCGGAAACCCAGCCCCCAGGACCACCAACAATTCGAGCGGCGTCCAGCAGCTCGGAATCTCTACACGTCAGCACGTCAGACAGAGGCAACTACGCTGCTGCACTCCAGGCTCAACTCACATCCCAGTCGATAAGCTTCCAGTAATCTCACATCCCGTACGAGGTACACAATGCTGAGCCATCGCAACCCATCGTCGCGATGTCAACCGTGATCGGACCAAGGCACTCTGGGCGGCCTTGAGCCGGTTCTGCTGTGCACCATCTGCAGGCGACGCGGGGCTGTGGCTGAGCGGGCTCTCTGACTCTGCCGACTCCCTCAGGAAAGCAGCCCTGGCGTCGGCCAGAGCGGCGATGGCTTCGGACTCCAGCAGCTTGTATCGCACCAGCGCCTCCTCGAGACTGTTGGCTGGCACCGCGCCCAGGATGTCTGGAAGTGCAGAGGCGGTAAACTCCGACAGCATCATGACTTTTTCCTCGGCCCACTGGATGAGCCTGGCAGCGTAGTTCTCCTCCTCGTGCGCAGCTTCCTCCGTCAGAGCAACTGCGTCGATTCGCTTCCGCCCAGCCTCTGGAGTCGAACACCGCGCCTCTGGAATCAAGCACTCCTCAGACGTTGTGGCAGCAGCTGGGCGCACGGCGCCAACACACCCGTGATGGGCGGCACCACCACCTCCTCGATCATCGGCACCCGCATCTTCACGATGAACGGCACCAGCACCTCCGCGAGGCTTAGCACCTCCACGAGAATCGGCACCAGCGCTTCCCAGATGCTCTGTACCAACACCTCCTCGATGATCGGCGTCGGCCCCTCCACGGTGACCGGTAGCATCCGCTCCACGAAGATCGGCGCCTCCACGATAATCAGCTTCAGCACCTTGGCGAAAAGGATCGGCGCCGCTATCGGCACCTCCACGACGGTCGGAACGACGAGCAGCAGCACGGGCTCCTCCACGAAGACCGGGACCAGTCACTACACGAAGATCGGCGCCAGCACTTCTGATACGTTCGGCACCAACACTATCTCGGATCCGCCGCATGGACAAGGACATATGCGCCTCGCCAGAGGAGTTGCCGTGCCCGTGATCCACGATGCACGCCTCTACGAGGGAAATACGCAGCATGTTGATAACGGCGGCGGCGAAGGAGTTCAGCATGCACAGATCGAAATGCGGGAGGAGCACGAAATGGGCAATCACCTTATCCGTGTGCGAGTTGAGCCAGACACGACACTGCCTTCCAGCAGCGAGTTGCTCAGAGATCCAAAGCAAGCGAGAGACGGAAACCATGATGTGAGCCAAAACGTGGACGGGGGGGCGGGAGGGCGCGCGCGCGCGCGCGCCCGCAGTGGCCCGGACCCAGCAAGTGCTTGGGCAATGGGCTCTCCTCCTCCTCCTGCTCCTGCTCCTGCTCCTGCTCCTCCTCTTCCTCCTCCTCTTCCTCCTCCTCTTCCTCCTCCTCCTAGGCCTCCCAGATGTTTCCGAGCAAAATGGGTCGGAGGATCGCGCCTCATCGCCGATACATCGCCGTTGCGGCGCGATCCTCCGAGCCCATCTACCATCGAGGAGGCCCCCAGTGTCTCCTCGACGTCAGTGGGTGGCGTCTGGCGGGCGCGCAGACCTTTGCTCGGCTGCAGGAGGAGGAGGAAGAGGAGCCCCTTGATCTCGGGGGCGGCCAAGGAAGGGATGATGACCTGGGGAGGTGGATGTCATGGTGGGGGCACGATGTTTCCCCAGATTTTTTGGCTTCCCCTTCTTTCAATGCGTCCCTGGGTCCCCTCCTGCTCCGCGCACGAGCCTTGGGCCATGATTTGCGAACCCCCCTCTTGGACGCACCCGATCTCCCCCGCGTTTTTTGTTGCTGTGTTTCAAGTCGGTCGTGTTTCTCCTTGACGTCGGCCCCTGGGGACCGTGGTCGGGTCCCCCTGCGGCGACCATCTGGCACTAGGGAAAAGGGTCGGGACTTGTGGAGCCGTGGTTGAAAACCAAACAAGTTGGCGGATGTCATGGACCTTGCGATCTTGGCGTAATTGGTTTGTTTCCGCCTCTGGGCGATTTACCCAGTCTCGGGCCTTGGGCCCTTCGCGAATCGTTCCAGCCTGAGATGGATTGCGCTGAAGAAGGGAGGGTTTCAGGGCTCGGGTCATGAGTTCTCGGGATGTTCTTGGATCTCAGTGGAGGGGGCAGGGATGGGGGGGGGAACTCCAGGCTGCCCTCATGAGGCCGGAGTAGATGGGGTCGGAATATCGCGCCGCATCGCCGATGCATCGGCGATGCGGTTCAATGTGGAGCCCGGATGTACGTCGCCGATGCGTCGTCGACGCATCGCCCACGCATCGGCGATGCATTGGGCACGCGGCGCCTCCGATCCTATCTATTCGGGCCCTTTGCATCTTGTTGGCGACGTCGGATCTCGGACGAGGGGAAGAGGGAGGGCGGAGGGGAATGGGAACGACGACGCTTGCTTGCCGAGCGAGAGACCGCAGGATAAGGGGAGGGCTCCCCGCTCGGGCCCCCGACAGCCTTGCCACGTCTCGGCCGTTTCTGTTTGAGTTGTTTTGCTGCCGCGGCCCTCGTTGAGTGGGCAGTGGGGACGGGGAGGGAGAGGGGGAAAGATGTAAGATAGTTAGGAAGGGGCGAGGAGTAAGAAGGACAGGGGCAAGTGGGAGGAGGAGGAGGAGCAGGATGAGTAGGAAGAGACACCTTACGTAGGAGATGCGGAGGAATAGGAGGATAAGGAGGAGGAGGAGGAGGAAGAGGGGGAGTAGGAGGAAGTGGAGAGGGGTTGGGCAGGGTGAGCGAGGAAGAGGATGGAGCGACGCCGCGAATCACCGTGACAGTTGCTTTCTGGCATTCCACATGTTTTCCAAGACGCATGTCCTGGGGCTTCAACCGTGCGATCCCTTGAAACAGCTCGAAGTTTTCACGATGAATCTGCGCAGCGCCAAGGCGAGAGCTAGTTATAGTTCGGAAACGAACCGCCATCCATCCTTGAAGCTGTTGCAACCTGTGAGACGGATGTGCGCGGCGCTGAGATTTGCGACATCGACGTGTCGAACAGCAATCGCCTCCAAGTATTGAGCACGCTGAGAAGTTTGTGACGGCTGTGCGCGGCGCCAAGGAGACACCCACGTTCTGAAACAAGACTCGCATTCCAACTTCGAACAAGCTTCAATATTTACGACGAATGCTCTCGGCGCCCAGGCGATGTCTACGTTTTGAGAATGCGCCGCCTTCCATACTTGAGACTTCTGCGAACTTGTGCAACGAATCTGCGCGGCGCGAGGGCGAGAGCGACATGTCTGAAGCCGCCCTGCATCCTTGAAGTTGCCAGGAGGTGTTCGTGCGAGGCGACTGGCCCGCTCTGCTGACACGCCTGGCGGCCAGCCATGGAGGAGTCATTCATAAGGGGATGGCGGAAGACGAGGAAAAGGAGAGGGAGGAGGAGGAGGAGGAGGAGGAGGAGGAGGAGGAGGAACAGGAGAAGGAGAGAGAGGGGCAGACAATGAGGAGGACGAGGAGCAGGGCAGGGAGGGCGCAAGGGGGGGGATGGACGAGGTTGGGGAACACAGGATCGAGTTGTTTGATGTTTCTTGTTCTGGAAGCATTTTCTGGAGGCCCCGAGATTCCCGGAGGATTCGAGATTCCTGGAGGATTCGAGGAGGAGCGGAAACGATCAGCGGTGCAGAGGGCACCGCGGATCAGCCACACAGGAGTGTGCAAATCGGCGAGGGCCTTCACAGGCTCGACATAATGTGTTGTCCTCGCCGCTGCTGCCAGGTACCTCGCTCTTGTTCGTGCCCTTGCCGCCCTTGCCTTTGCAAGCTCCCTTGCACATTGGAGCAGCAGCATGAGGATCAGCAGCAGCAGTAGCCCGTTGGCCACGTGGGTCCGCCGACACGACCCAAGGGCATTGGTGATCTCATAATTGTTGTCCTCGTAAGTGTCGTTTGCTAGTGCGGGAGGAGAGGGGAGGTATGATTGGAGGGGGAGTGCCCTGGGAGGTTTTGCTGAGGACCAGCAGGAGGAGCAGACGGGGGATCGGCCCCTGCATGCCTCTTGCCTCCCCGATCCCAGAACTGAGCCCAAACGTTCTCGCCACTCCCCGTGGCCGCTTCGGCTCGAGCCCAGTCCCCGAGACTGGGGTCCCACAGCGGCCGAGGCTGCCTTTCTTGCCACGGACCCTGAGCTCCGACGTTGCGAAAGAAAGCTGCAACATCGCAAACGACCATGACCACAGCCCTATAGACTCCACCTCTCGGCGGCATGCCTCGAGACGGATCGCTCCGTGACGGTCCCGTGCCCCAAAGCCAGCCCGCTCCGCACAAGCACTGCAGCGCCCGGAGCTCAGGGCATGGCGCCCCCGGGGCCATCCCTTGCGAATGGGGGACGCGGCCGGGGCAGGAGACCTGCTGGACTTGGGCCCCGCGGACAAGCCCACGACGGCGGCCAGCGCCTCCGCCGAGCCGCGGAGCGCCGCCGCCCCTGCCGCGGAGGAGCTGGCCGACATCTTCGAGGCGCCCGCCGCGCCCGCGGCTGGCGGCGCCGTCGAGGCCGCCCCGCTCGGGGACGACCTCCTCGAGCAGCCCGCGCCCGCTGCGGCGGGCGGCGGCGCCGCCGCCGCCCCGCTCGGGGACGACCTCCTCGAGGCGGCCGCGCCCGCGGCGCCCACGGCGGCCGCGGCCGCGGCCGACGCGTTCGGGGACGACGACTGGGACGCGTTCCAGAGCGCACCCACCGGCGCGGGGCCGGCCGCGGCGGCTCCGGCCGAGGCCGCCGACGGCGGGGCGGGCGCAGGCGCCGCGGCGGCGCCTGGCAGCGCCGAGGCCGAGCTCTTCGACCCGGTGGTTTTCAGAAGAGGGGGAGGGGGAAAAGGAGGAGGAGGAGTTCATTACGAGGAGGAGGAGGAGGACGAGGAGAAGGAGGAGAAGGAAAAGGAGGAGGGCGGAGGAGGAGGAGGAGGCCAGGAGGAGGAGTGTGAGGAGGAGGAGGAGGAGGCCAGGACGAGGAGGAGGAGGAGGAGGAGGCGGAGGAGGAGGAGGAGAGGAGGAGGAGGAGGAGGAGGGAGGAGAGGAGAGGAGGAGGGAGGAGGAGGAGGAGGAGGAGGAGGAGGAGGAGGAGGAGGAGGAGGACGAGGACGAGGAGGAGGAGGAGGAAATGGAGGAGGATGAGGAAATGGAGGAGGAGGAAGAGGAGGAGGAAGAAGAGGAGGAGGAGGAGGAGGGCGGAGGAGGGCGAAGGAGAAGGAGGAGGAGGCGGAGGAGGAGGAGGAGGAGGAGGAGGAGGAGGAGGAGCTGGAGCTGGAGGAGGAGGCGCCGGCGGAACTCCGCATGGCCTCGAGCATTTGTCCGAAATTCCGAATGCTTTAGCCCCAGGCCTAGGAGAGCAGCCCTGACCGAGGATGCCATGCCAAGCTCGCTAAGAGGAGCAGCGAGCACAGCCGAGGCAGCAGGCGCACCTCAGGCCCACTTCTCGTCACCCAGATCGAGGTTGAGCTCCTTGAAGAGGTCCTGGGCCTGCCTCTCCGCGGCCCCCCGGGGGGCCTGGCCGAAGTACTTCTTGCATTCCATGTCTGGGAGGTGCTTGATACGATACTCTCCAAATCAACGTAGTTTGGATACACACGAATGACAAGCTTCACCTTGGTGGAATTGCAGAGCTTTTACAACTCGCAACACGGGACGGCTTCTTGGAGCTCCTTGTTCGCATGCCCGCCTGTGGGATCACTGAGCGGCGGGTGGGCCGCAAAGGTCCAGATTTCCTGGAGATCCCTCTGTCCGAGCTGCTCTGACGTACTTGCCTCAGTCAGCAACGTTATGACTTCCCATGGGTCTGGGCCGCCCTCATCGTGGCTACTCTTGCCCTTAGGGCGGCCTGGATCTTGAATGCCGTCTTGACTCCCAGCGCTGCCTAGCTATGCGCTGCAACCAGGAAGCAGATGAACACGACTGCCATCAGCTAGCATGCGTACTTCTTGCTTCGTCTGGAGGCACAACTTCACGAGGATTGACAACAGCTCCCAGATCGTGTCCGCGTCGACAGCGCTGCTGGAGCTCCGCTTCTTCCGCGAAGAGGGTTCGGAGGCACTTCATAACAGGAAGGTTGTCCATGCCGCGTCTGCCATGCTACCCGTCAGGGAATTCCCCCCAAATCGATATATACATATAACGGGGGACCGGGTCCGGGGGCCCGGGGCCGGGACCTCGACCGCAAATGTGGGCTCCGGGGGGCCCGGAGGCTCGTCGGGGCTTGCCGGAGGCCTCCCCGGTCAGACAAGAGGGCCCCAGAAGCGCCCAAGACGGCCCAAGAAACTTCCAAGAGGCCTCCAAGAGGGCTCCGAGATGCTGAAGATGGCCTCCAGACGTCCAAGGACGCCCCCAAGAGGCCCCAAGAAGCCTCCAACATGCGTCCCAAGAGGGCCCCTAGACGCAAAAATTGGCCCATTCCCTTCGTAAAACGTACATTTTCAACAAAGTTGTCTTTTGGGCTTTCCGACGTTACAGGACGGCCCAAGAGGCGCCCAAGACCGCCCCAAGACGGCCCAAGAAGCTTCCAAGAGGGCCCCAGGACAGCCCAAGAGGGCCCCAAGACGGCCCAAGAGGCGCCCAAGATGGCCCAAGAGGGCCCCAAGACGGGCCCAAGAGGGGGCCCAGAGGGGGACCACGAACCGCAAGCTCGAGCCTTCCGCCCCAAGAGGCCGCCAGGAGGCCCCAAGGAGGCCCCTCAAGAGGCCCCAGGAGACCCCCAAGAGGCCCAAAGGAGGCCCCGAGAAGCCCCAAATCGGCCCCCCAAATGCTTCGAACCTGCTTCCAGGAGGCCCCCGACAGGTTCAGAGGCTCCCAAGAAGCTACGTCAAACTCCCAGCGAGCGGCCGGACGAGGCCCCCCAAAAAATCCCAAGAGGGTTCCAGTATTTGTATCCTTCAGCGCTCTCTGGCCTTCTTTCCCCTGCCCTCTTCCCTGCGACTTTCGTTGACTCAAGCTCGCCTCCTCTCCATTTCCTCTCTCTGCCTCTCTATCTCTCTCTCTCTCTGTCTTCTTCTCTCTCTCTCTCTCCATTTTTTTGTTTGTTTTTGTTTCTCTTCTTTTTTTTGTTCTCTCTCTCTCTCTCTCCTTCGCTCTCTGTCTGTCTGTCTCTCTCTCTCTCTCCCTCTCTTTCTCTCTCTTTCTCTTTCTTCCTTTCATATTCCGTGTCCTTGCGACCTTCTGCAGTCCCCGACGTCACCACGGCTGGATTCGCTCGAGCGTGTCTTGTGATGTGCGGCGGTGCGAAGCCCGTCCCACTGATCAAGGCACAGGTACGAAATGATGGATCCATCATTTCTTGCCTTCCCATTTGCGTTTTCCCAATCGATTCCTGGGCCCGAGGTCGCAAGAATTACGACGTCGGAAGTCTGGGGAGGCGGGAAGCACGACCTGGACCTCCGACGTCTTGGAAAAATCACGACGGCGGTTTCGGTCAATTTTCGGCCTCCGGGGCCCCTCGCAGGGTCCCGGGACCGTCAGAAAACGACTCAGGATGAAAAAAAATTATCCCGGCAAAGCAACCTAACAGCGATGTGTAGAAGCATATCTGAAAGCATTCCCCTTAAGATTCAGATGAACATCCAGTTGTCGAATTCTGCTGTTCTCGCAGTCGTAGTCGCATTCGCGATGACAGTCGCAGCGGCAACGGCAGTCGCAGTCAAAGCCTCAGCCTCAGCCTGCCTCCTCCTCCTCCTCTTTTTCCTGCTCCTCCTCCTCCTCCTCCTCCTCCTCCTCCTCCTCCTCCTCCTCCTCTTCCTCCTGCTCGTCCTCGTTCTCGTCCTCCTCGTCTTGCTCGTCCTCCTCCTCCTGGTGCTCTCTCCTCCTCCTCCTCCTCCTCCTCCTCCTCCTCCTCCTCCTCCTCCTCCTGGTGGTCCTCGTTCTCCTCCTCCTGGTGCTCTCCCCCCCCCTCCTCCTCCTCGTCCTCCTCCTCCTCCTCCTCGTCCTCCTCCTCCTCTCCTCCTCCTCCTCCTCCTCCTCCTCCTCCTCCTCCTCCTGGTAGTCCTCCCCCTCCTCCTCCTCCTCCTCCTCCTCCTCTTCCTGGTCGTCCTCGTTCTCGTCCTCCTCGTCTTGCTCGTCCTTCTCCTCCTGGTGTTCTCCTCCTCCTCCTCCTCCTCCTCCTCCTCCTCCTCCTGGTGGTCCTCGTTCTCCTCCTCCTGGTACTCTCCCCCCCCCTCCTCCTCCTCCTCCTCGTCCTCGTCCTCCTCCTCCTCCTCCTCCTCTCCTCCTCCTCCTCCTCCTCCTCCTCCTCCTCCTCCTCCTCCTCCTGGTACTCCTCCCCCTCCCCTCCTCCTCCTCCTCCTCTTCCTGGTCGTCCTCCTCCTCCTGGTCGTCCTCCTCCTCCTGCTCGTCCTCCTCCTCCTCCTGCTCGTCCTTCTTCTCCTGCTCCTCCTGCTCCTCGTCCTGCTCCTGCTCGTCCTCGTCCTCCTGGTCTTGCTCGTCCTCCTCCTCGTCGTGCTCTTGCCCCTGCTGAAAATGTGGCCCAGGAATGGGAGTTCTGGGAAGTCGAAGAGCACGAAGTTGCCTACAGTTGGCTACGGGCATTCAAAATGTGGCCCGGGAATGGAGTTCTGGGAACTCGAAGAGCACGAAGTGGCCTACAGTTGGCTCCGGGCATTCAAAATGTGGCCCGGGAATGGAGTTCTGGGAACTCGAAGAGCACGAAGTGGCCTACAGTTGGCTCCGGGCATTCAAAATGTGGCCCGGGAATGGAGTTCTGGGAAATAGAAGAGCACGAAGTGGCCTACAGTTGGCTCCGGGCATCCAAAATGTGGCCCGGGAATGGCGTTCTGGGAACTCGAAGAGCACGAAGTGTGTGACTGTTGCATCCGGCCCCCCAGAATGTGGCCCGGGAATGGCGTTCTGGGATGTCGAAGAGCACTTTGTGTGTGACTGTTGCATCCGGCCCCCCAGAATGTGGCCTGGGAATGGAGTTCTGGGAAGGCGAAGAGCACGAAGTGTGTGACTGTTGGTGAAAAACGAGCCCGGCTCATGCCGCCCGGAAACGCCCCAACACCTGCCCGGACCCCCCTGTGGAGTGATCTGTGAGCTCTTTTGAGACCACTAGAAACCTATCAGTCTTCGCTGTTAGGTAAAAACACATCCCCAGGAAGTCGTCGAGAGGTCCAGGGGCCGCGCACAGAAAGCATCACAACATCGGACGTCCAGAGAGGAGGTAGGAACACGAGGAGGAGGGAGCCCAGACCTCCTGGCGACGCAACACCAAATACAACAAAAGCTTCCCCGCGACTTCCCCCAGAGACTCTAACTACAGAAACTCCTTTCGTATTCCGGCCAGAAGCATCCAGAAACGATGTACATTAGCCCTGGCGGGGGGAGTGATGGCGATGGTGATGTTCATGATGACGACGGTGACGATCCTAGCTAGAACCTAAGCGCGCGCGAAGCGCGCGCGTGGTTCTAGTAACATGTGCTCGGCAAGCGAGAAGCCAGATGCCACCGCAAAGGAGTGGCATACTCGCACACAATGTCGCAGATGCGGCAAGAACCAGGAGGGGGGACAACGATCTCAGGCACATTTCACTCCCTCTCTCCCGCTGGCCGCCGCAGAGCCCTCGTTGCAGACTTTGGGCGATTGGACGATTGGACTGATTGGACGTCTATCCAATATTGGAGTTGATTGGATGGATTCGTAGTAATGGACCCCGTAGGAAGATTGGATACCTTCCAACATGGAGGTCCAATATTGGACCCCAGGTCCAATATTGGACCTGAGGTCCAATATTGGACCTCGGTTCGGAAAATTGTCGCGGTTTTTGTGCGCGTGACGATTTCCCCATCCGGAGGTCCTATATTGGACCCCAGGTCCAATTTGGAACCCGATTTGACCCATCTGAAGGTCCAATATTGGACCTCAAGTCCAATATTGGACCCCAGGTCCATTATTGGGCCCGGAGGAGAGGTATGAGAGGCGGATGAGAGAGAGGGAGGGAATCAAACGGACAAGGGGTGACGGAAGTAGGGTTCGTGCAGGGAAACGGGTCCTGAGGGGAAGGAGTCCTGACCCTCGGGCTTCTCTCCCAGAACGAGTCCTGCATCCCGAGGCGTTCTCCGACGCTCCAAGGGTCCGTGGAGGGCCCCGAGATCCCGGAAGCGGCGGAAAACCTTCAGGTACGCCTTCCTCGAGCACGATCACGAAGCCATATGCCGTTCGGCGCGTGAGCAGGAACGACAAAGTGGACTCGAGAATGCAATGCTTGCGCTCAACAGGGCTGTAGGAGGAGGAGGAGGAGGAGGAGGAGGAGGAGGAGGAGGAGGAGGAGGAGGAGGAAGGAAGGAAGGAAGGAAGGAAGGAAGGAAGGAAGGATAAGGACGGAAGGACGGAAGGAAGGAAGGAAGGAGGGAAGGGAAAGCAAAGCACCCCCGGACCAGCTTTCCCTCAGGACCACCTGTTTCCCTCTGGACCACTTTGCTCCCACGTCTCAGGAGGGGAAACACACACAGACACAACGAAGCGTCGACTCCCAGGACAATAGAGGAAACTATGGCAAGCGGGGGGGAAGACGAAAACCCAGAAAATATGGAACGAAATGGGAAATCCTGGGTGTTTGCGTGTGTGTGTGCTTATTTGTGTGTCCTTGAGCCCACGACCCTCGCCCGACTCGTGAGCACTCCCTGGCCCGGCCATGCCACCGCCAGCGCGCCTCTGGGCCTGGCGCGCGGGGCCTCCCGGCTCTCGCCGCCCGCGACCCCGGGCACGACAGCAACCGAAAAGCGCGCGAGAGCCGCGCGCTCGGGGAGTCCAACGAAAGGGGGAGATAGGGAAAGGGGGGGGTACGAAATCTGTTGCATGCAGCTGGTTTCGGCCCGCCGCCGGGCCCATTCCTCGATACATAGGCGCCTCTGGCGCAGGGAGGCGCCGGGAAACGTAAGCTGATTCTCAACCCCCCCTTTGCTATCCCCCCCTGTCGCCCGGCCGGAAAGAAAAGGGTGATGACCAGGGATAAGTCGGGCGTGTCCCTCTGCAGGAGGAGTACTCAAAAATAGCCCACACAGTCCGGGGGACGATTTTTGGTGTATTTTTTTTTTGCTTTTTCAGGGCCCCGGGACCCTCACAGATCGATGCGGCTCGAAACAAGGCGCAGAAAGACAGGGTCTGGGTCTCCGGGCGCGGATATTCACGACGTCGGATCTCAGGGAAGAGGGGGGTGATGACTAGGGGGGGGATATCATGGCGGGGGTCATCCTCAGACATGATCGTGGCGTTAGAAAAATAAGGGCGGCACATGTTTTGGCTATTTTTGGCCCCTGGGGGTCCTCGCCGGGCCCCGGGACCGTCAAACAACGACTCGGGACGAAAAACCGGCCCCAAGGAAAGGGTGGACTTCCAGGGACGCCGCATTGAAAAATCAGGACGTCGCATGTCTTGGACTAGTGACTAGGAGGGGGGAATATCATGGCGGAGCCATGATCTTTCCCCAGATTTCACGGCGCCTCTTCTTACTTCATTACTTTCCCTGGTCCCCTCCCTGGGCCGCGCACGTGCCGCCGGCCATGATGTGCCCCCGCCCTCGAGGACCTTCCTCCTCCCCCTCCAACATGGAGGGGGAGGAGGAATATCCTCGAGGGCGTCTCGGAACACCGGGAGAGGGTCCAATATTGGAGCCAAGCGCAAAATTGAGCCCCAGGTCCAATATTGGACGTCCGGTTTGGGAAATCGGGAGGCGTGGAAAGCCCCGACGACACGTCCGAACGCGGGTCCAATATTGGTCCTGGAGGTCCATTTTTGGAGCGAGGGTCCAAGATTTGAAACTCAGAGAAGTCACGGATCCAGGGTCCAATATTGGACCCAAGTCCAATATTGGACCCCAGGTCCAATATTGGACACCTGGATTGGACAATGTCCAATATTCCAATTTGCCAATTTTCCAATGCTGTCCAATCCGAGCGGGCCCCTCCCCGAAATGAGAAACCCTCCTCCTCCTCCTCCTCCTCCTCCTCCTCCTCCTCCTCCTCCTCCTCCTCCTCCTCTCCTGTCCAGCCTGCCCGCCTGCCTCGTGCGGTGAGTCGATCGCGGTTTTCCGCCTGCGAGCGAGGCGGCACCGGCCGCACTTTGGGGAGGGCACCTCCCCCGATCCATGGATTCGGCGACCGCGCGCCAAATCCATGGATAGCTAATCCATGTTTGCGCGCCCCAGAATAACCGTCCCATCAGCGCACGATTCCACATCCGTGGAACTGCAACTCGTAGGAGACCTGACCTCAAGCTGACTCATCTTCTCCGAACGTTCAGCCTCGAGGCCTTGGCATTGCCAAGCAAGATGATGCGCACTGCAGTGCGTTCCGCAGCTCAGGCAATCGGCCGGCTCGGCGTACTTGCAACGATGTAAATTCGCAGTCGTCCAAAGTCCGTCTCCTACAATATCGCGAATGACATTTACTTTCTGGCTGGTGAGTACACAACGATAGTCTCGAAGTGGCGCCTCCGAAAGCTCTGGCTCGGGGTCCGCTTGAGGCTCCTGTGCGTCACTATCATGATGAGCATCATCATCATCATCAGCAGCAGCAGCAGCAGCATCCTCATCAGCATCAGCATCAGCATCATCATCGTCATCATCATCAGCAGCAGCATCCTCATCAGCATCAGCATCATCATCGTCATCATCGTCGTCATCGTCATCAGCATCAGCGTCAGCATCAGCATCGTCGTCATCATCAGCAGCATCAGCATCAGCATCAGCATCAGCATCAGCGTCTTTCATCGTCATCATCATCATCATCGTCATCATCATCAGGATCATGATCACGATCATCATCATCATCATCATCATCATCATCAACATCATCATCACCATCATCGTTGTCGTCGTCGTCATCATCATCTTCATCATCATCATCATCATCATCATCATCATCAGCATCATCATCATCTGGGATGTCAGGCGTCTGAACAACACGTAATCCTTCAAACAATGATTCCACACCAAACCCCATGGGGTATATGCTGATCCTCTGCTGGATTCGGTCGCCTCGCCCAAGACTCGAAGGAGCAGTTGGAGGAGGAGGAGGAGCAGCAGCAGCAGCAGCAGGAGGAGGAGGAGGAGGAGGAGTTGCAGTGGCGGGTAGGTCCGAACGCGAGCGGGTGGGTGTACCTTACGAGCGGGCGGGCGGGCAAACGTGGGCGGAGCAGAGCGGAGCAGGGTGGGCGGAACGTGGCCGAGTGTGCGAGCTGTGCGGTCCCTTGCTGGCAGTCTAGCTTTCCGAGGGGTCTTCATTTTTCCGCGATGTCGGTCCCCAGCGTTTTCGCATTTCTGTTTCAATGCGGGCGTTTGTCTTGTATGTCGGCTCCTTTGGCAAATTTCGGCCCCCAGGGCCAACGAGCATGGGTCCGAGGCGAAACGCTGACCCCGAGGCAGGGGTCGGGACATCTGGGGCCGCGCATTGAGCAAAATCATGTTGCCGAGTGACCGTGCGAGTGTCCAACGAGGAGGTACACGATGCCTCCCCGAGCTGGGGAAAGGTGATGTTTCCAGCGGGGAGGGAGGGCCACACCAACAGAAGTGTCCCCCCTTGGCTGCCACGGCTCTGATCGTACAGACATACCGTTCTTCCTCGTTTCTAGGTGGTGGCGCCGAGCGAGGCCCCGAAGACCCCGGACCCCTACAGCGGCCTCGTAGACGCGCTGGAGAAGAAGCACGCGGGCGCGGGCGCCGACAGCCTGATATCCGTAAGGGCTTCGCCCCCATGCCGCCGGCCCCCCTCTCTTGGAATGGGACTTGCCAGAGCTGTGTTGGGATGTCTGGACGCTGACGTCAGGCAACGTCGGGACTTCACGCGAGGGCCAATATCAATTTACGAGGGTTTGATGGCTTCGGTGGCGCGAATATCAGGTAATCTACAGCCTGGTGGATCCGCAGGGGGGGCCGGCGGATCCTTCGGGGCGAACGACGAGTTCGACCCCGTGGCGCAGGCCTGGGCGAAGGGGCAGACCGAGGCCCCCGGGCAGGCGCAGCCCCCGGCGGCGACCAGCAGCGCGGTCGCCGGGGAGGACTTCGACCCGGACCCGCTCGCGCCGGAGCGGCCCAAGCCGGTGCCGGTGCCAGCCGGTGGCGGCGGGCCGGGCGGGGATTTGCTGGGCATCGGCGGCGGCGCCACTGGGAGCTGGTGGGCTCGTTTCCCACCACCACCACCACCACCATGAGTATAGGAGGGGGAGGGGGTCCTGCTCCTCATCTTCCTCCTCCTCGGCCTCCACCTCCTCATCCTCCCTCCAACTTGTGGTGGTGGTGGCGGAAAGCAGGCCCATCAGGAGCGGCGCGCCCGCAGCGGAGGACGATGACTTCGTCTTGGACGCGACACACGGTATCGACCTGGAGCCGGAGAAGAAGCAAATTTTCGTGTACTTCAAGGGCGAGAAGAACGTGGTCGGATGGTACTCGGACGTCGGGGGCAAGGTTCGGGGGGGGGACAGGCTCCCAGGGGAGTGCAGCATGCATCGACCCTGAATCGCCTGTCGATCGCCGATAGGGGCCCGGTAGCCCAACTCGCCCAGGTGGTAGTTTTGTTGTTCTTTGTTTTGCCGATCGGCGCGGGCTCTCGCACCCCCCCTACCACCCCCCATGGAGTAGATCTTGGCTCTTTTTTGGCGCCTGTTTGGAGCGGGTGGAGACTCCCCTAGAGGCAGCACTCTTGCAAACAGTCGCACTAAGCAGAGGTCTGGAGCCAGACCCCCCCCCCGCCCGTTTCCGCCCACTGTCGAAACGCGGAATAAAGAAAACGCTCACATAGGGGCCTGGTGGCCCAACTCGCCCAGAAACCCGCGAGGTCGCGATCTGGGGTCTCTCGCCGACCTCTCTGATGCATCCGCCGATTCCAGGTCGATGATCCCCCCCTGCTGAGCCGTTCCATCCCTGCCGGGTGGGGCAGGAGGAGGAGGAGGAGTAAGCGGAGGAGGAGGAGGAGGTGGAGAGGTGGAGGAGGAGGGGGATCGCCTCCCCCTTCAGGACATGAAGGCCGGAGATATCAAGGAGGCCGTCCTGTGCGCATGCGACGCCATCATCGACGGAGGCTTCGTCTTGAGGGAGGTGGTTTTCACGGGCGACGACGAGTCCACCGCCGAGCCCGCCGAGGACGGGAAGACCTTCGACTACGAGGACTTCGGCGACCTGCAGCACGGGCAGACCTACATCATAGAAGCGGCGCAGGAGCGCGACGACCTGAAGAAGTTCACTGGCGACAGGTGGCGCCGCCTCAAGGTTCAGGTCGAGCCCCTCCTCCACGTAGAGGCCGTCAAGGCGATCGACCGGATGAAGCGAGGGTCGAATCTGCTGAAGCACACCCACTACGGCTTTCGAAGAAGATACAATTGCGTAAATGTGCCTGTGCTGAGGTCCGCGAGGATTTTCTGGATGTGGCGCTGGGTCCCCTGGCGGCTTTTCCGGCGCCGCCCTTGGCGCACTTCGCACGCCGGCGAGGGATGTCCAGCCCCAGATCCAGGAATTTCGCGCTGACCTCCGAAAGTGTATGTATATGTTGTTTTGTGTTCCTCTAGGCTTTCCCCACCTCAGGCAGTTCCAGTTGAGCGACGACCGCAAGCGCCTGATCTGGTATTCAGGCGCTAAGCGAAAGGAGGACTCCGTAATTCAGCTCGAGGATGTGATTGAGATTAGACTGGGGCAGTCAACCCCGGTCTTCTTGCACTATCGCTTGCCAATGCTTGAGCACCTCTCGTTCTCCCTGGTCTACGGCGCGAATGGATCGAAGTCCTTGGACTTGACCTGCAAGGACGAGTTTGAATTCTTAACGCTTCGCGGAGCCCCACCAGCCCATCCAGAAACGATGCCCTGGTGAGCCGAGGAAGGAAGGAAGTAGTGAAGCAGACAGTGAAGCAAGGAGCCCAGAAAGGAAGGGTTGGAAGAGCAACCTCTCGAAACCACTTGCGCCCAGCGGGCTGGTAGGATTCGACCACTGGGTCACTGGACTGAAGGCAATCTTCTACCATTTCAAGAATAAGCAGATCAGCAAGGAGCAGCTCCTCGGACACTCCAAGCGGTTCAAGAAGGCGCTGGAAAAGAGCAACGTCGGCATCAAGCTCACCAAGTTGCCAGAAGTGAAAGAGAAGGGCCACGTTGGCCTAGACGACTGCATCGAGATCGTCGCGCACACGCCGCAGCAGCTCGACACCAAGATGGAGCGCCTGCGGGAGCGGCTGAAGACCATGAGTCAGCAGGTCGCGCGCCTGGACGTGCACGCGCAGGCCGAGATGGAGGTGGACCTGTCGCTGCTCACGGGGCAGGGCCCAGCGTACTCCAGCGTGTTCGTGCAGGACTCGACGAAGAATCAATTGCATAAACATGAGTTGTTGTAGTTCTGCACAACTTTCTTGGATCGGCACTGGACCCCCCAACGGCGCCTCTGGCGCCGCCCCTGGCGCCAGGAGCGCGTCGGGGATGGGATTTCAGCGCAGATCCAAGACATCCGCGCGGACCTCCGAAAGTTCATGCTTACAAATCGGATAGATCGAGGTCGGTTCAGGGAGGGTGCCCTAGTGTTCTTCGTGTTTGTTGGATGTTCTTGTGCACCCTAGGAAGGGCACCCTTGGATTTTCTTTTCACTTTGGTCGACGACGGAGGGTCTCATGTTTTTGAGGGATGTTTTTCTGGCCTAGGTCCGACTTCACTCTGTCTTCTAAGGATGAGGACGCGCAGGACGAGGAGATGGAGATCCGGCGCATGCACGAGTTGGTGGAGCAGACCACGCAGGTATTTTTTGGCGCGCCCGAAATCGGTGGTCACATGCGAACCCTACCCTCGCCCCCCCCCTCCCCCCTCCCACACGATTAGGGGGGGGGTCACTTCGTTCGGGAGCTCCCGAGCGGAGAGAACCCCCACCCCCCCCTGGAAATCGTTGGGGGTGGGGCTAGGGTTCACATGTGGCCACTTAAGTGTAAAACTCGTGCGGAAGGAATGGGGACGAGGACCAGCAGCATTCCCTGTCTGTTGTGAGCAGGGTTCGCTCCTGTGTCGTCGTGGGCCTTCTCCACTTGAGGCACCAGCTCGCCTGCCCAACGGCGGCCGCTGAGGGTTTTAAGCCACATCTGCAGCGGGGCAGCTGCTTAGTCTTGTCCGCGCCCGTTGCGGGCGTGCCGACAGGTTCTGCAGCAGGCCCGAAACGAGCTCCTGGCGCTGAACAACAAGCGGAGCGAGGGCTCGGCCGCCTCGAGCAGCAACGACCAGAGTGCCGCCGCGAAGAACAAGAAGAAGGAGGCCGCGGCGTGCAAGCACGTCGACCAGCTGCTCTGGAAGGCCGAGGTCGACCTCGAGAACGTGGAGGACATGTACCTGAGGCACATAGACAACGAGAAGGACACACCGAAGAACAATCTACGGCATAATCATGGTGTCTCGGAGTTCTTTGCGGAGTCCTCGGGTCGTCGCTGGGTCCTCCTGGCGGCGCCTCCAGCGCTGCCCCTGGCGCGCTCTGCGTGTCAGGCATGGGGTCCAGCGCCGATCCAAGAAATCCGCGCGCACCTTCGACACATCATGCTTACGTATGCCGCTTGGTTATCGTTTTTTTCATTATTTTGCCGATCGGAGCGGGCTCTCGTAACCCTTCCCTCCCCCCCCCTTGGAGTAGATCTTGACTGTTGTTGGCGCCTGTTTCGAGCGGGTAGAGTCCCCCCTCACAGGACGCACTGTCGCAAACAGTCGCACTAAGCAGAGGTCCAGAACCAGACCCCCCCTCCCCCTTCTCTTCGCTCAATGTCGAAACGCCGAATAAGAAAACGCTCACTTGTTGCTCCGCTAGGACATCGTCACGCCGTTCTCGATCTCCATGGCCGACGTCAACCGTAGACTCTCGGAAGTGTCGTCGGAGGTCGAGGAGACCATGAGGACGACGTTCAACAGCTGGTTCAGGTGAGCGCCTTTCCGTAGAGAGAGGCTCGGGCCGCTTGCGCGCCCGTGCATTCCCGTCAGTGTGCCGGTGGCGTCGGGGGAGCTTTCTGTCTGCAGTCCCAGCGCGCTCGAGCTGCGGCGATCCCTCGCGCAAGGCGGGGTTCGAGCGGTGCCGTTATGCCTGTCTCAGAGGAGGGCGAGTTGGGGCAGGGGTGGTTGGCCTTCGGGGTGCCCCTTCGTCGCCACGGCTGGACGCAGCTCGGACAACTGGTGCGCTTGGTCCCTGCGAGGTGTCTGGGATCCGATCTTGAGCTGCCGTTGTCTCAACTCGCCCTGCTCTGATTGTCCCCGCGGTGTGCCTTGCAGGGAAGGGGAGCTCTTCCTCCCTGCTCCGAAGACAGACCGACACAGCTTAAACTTTCGGAGGCCCGCGCAGACATCTTGGATCGGCGCGGGGCCTTCGCGCGCTTCGCGCTCCAGGGAGGGGGGGAGCGCACAAGTCTGAGACATCCGCGCGGACCTCCGACGGTTCCTGCTCGTGCGTTGCTTCTTCCCTCCTCGCTCCCTCCTGTCGGGGGAGCGTAAGACCCGGGTTTGCCGGGACTCGGGTTCGCCACCGTTTTTTGACGACCGCGCCTCGGATTTTGACGAGGAGGAGTTTCGTGGGATGTTTGCAGCGGGAGGCCTCGTCAAAATGCAGGCTCGGCCTCGTCATTTTTTTGACGACCTCGTCGGGGATTTCCGAGTCCCCCGTAACCGGGTCTTACGTCTCCCCGATCCTGGCTCTTCCTTCAGGGGCAATGTTGGGGCGGATAGGCGTGGGGAGGGGCTGCATCGACCTTCAAATGGCACATTCATCGCCGATAGGGGCCTGATGGCCGTCCAGAACTGTGCGGTTTCGCCATCTGGTGCCCATCGCCGATCTGTCGGCGATGCATCGTCGATTCCAGCTCGATGCTTCCCACCCTGAGCTTCCCACCCCAGAGCCCCGACTCTGTAATTTTTCACAGCGTGGACCCCTGGAGGTAGCGACTCGTCAAGGCCGCCTGCGATCCCATTCGATGCGATCCGAATCGCCCGCTGGGGCTGCGATTCCGACTCGCTGCGATTCGTTTCGGTTCGCTGGCGTCGGCCAGGGCCAGCCTGAGTTGAGCGCGGCGGTCTGATTTCGATGCGATTTGGGACGATCCGCTGTCGATCCTCACACCTTTTCTCCTCTCACAAGCCCGGGTCAGGGGCGCTCGCCCGCAGGTTTGTTTCGACAACCGAGTACGCTGATCTCAGCCATACTTCCGTTCGATCGATCGAACCTCTCCCTCCCCCTCCCCCTCCTCCCCTTCCCCTTCCTCCCCCTCCCTCTCCCCCTCCTCCTCCCCCTCCTCTCCCTCCTCCTCCTCCTCCTCCTCCTCCTCCTCCTCCTCCTCCTCCTCCTCCGATCCGATCCGATTTCGCGACTCGGTCCAGCGCAGACCTGCCCGTTCCCTGGGGCCAGCTTCTCATCCCGAGGCGGCTTCTCTTGGCCCGAAGGGCCTCCCCTTGGGCCGAACGTGGCCGAAGGCCCTCCGTGGTGGCCCTGCTCACGCCTCGAGGGGTCCGGGGTCCCTCCCTCCTCGGGCGCGGCCTCACCGACCTCTGGCAGGCCACTCTCTTCCATGACGGCACCCTCGCAGGTCGAGCTCCCCTCTGGCCGCACACATGCGTCTTGGGGTGAGGCGAGGGGGGGACGTCACGGAAGGGAATGGTTTGCTAGGGGTCGGTTAGGCCGCCGCTGACCTCCCTCGTCCTCCTGGACATCCGCAGGCGTCGCGCGCTCTCTCCGCGAGGGCCCGTCGGGTGGATCTGCCCCGCCCCGCCCTCCCCCTCCCCCCTCGGCCACGCGCAGAGGGGGGGAAGGGGGAGGGGGGAAGGCTTCTTGCAAGCACCCCTGCTTCTCAAAAGAAGCGGCCCCTTCTCTATAGATGTAAGGCCGGCGCCTTTGAGAAGCATCCTCTTTCTAAGAAGCCTTCCCCCCTCCCCCTACTCCCCTGTGCGCGCTGCCCACACCCTCTTGCGGAAACATGAGACTCGAGTTTGCTGGACCTCGGGTTTGCAGAGCGCCTCTGACGGGCCCGCCCCAGATATTCTGACGGTCCAGCTTTCGAGGGATGTTCGTAGCGGGAGCCCGCAGCAAATTTCAGATTGTGCCTCGTCATTGTTGTTGATGGTCATGTTTGGTTTTATTTGGCGCGGTGCCGTTTTTTTCACCGTTTCCGAAAACATGTTTTTTGAACATGGAAACGGTAGAGAAACGACGAGCAGAAACGGCAACAAAAGCAGCTCCAGGATTGAAACCCGAATCCGAACTTGCAAAACAATGGCAACGGATCTGGACAAAACATGGCGTCAGAACCGGCAACTTAACGTAGAGACAGAAATGGCGAAGGTGCGGCCCTGTTGTTCCCAGGGCCGACCAATGTGAGGACAACCCGAGTCCCCCGAACCCGAGTCTTACGTCCCCCGACCCTCGCACGCGGCCAGGCCTTGGGCGCCAGCAGTCGCGGCAGCCGCTCACGGCAGCGGCGTGTCGAAGAATGCGGTCTTTAGCTAAAGAGCCGGCCTTGCTCACGCGGGCGACGGAGCAGCGCCCCTTGCCTGGGAAAGATAGGCTCTTGTCATTTTATGGTTATGTGTTTGTTTTGGGGACCTTCCTGGGGCTACACCTGACGGATCTGTTCGATTCTGATTTGATTCCGGTTTGATTGCGAAGGCCTTACGACCCGTTCTGCCGACCCTGAATGACGACGACGACGACGAGCGTTCTCGGGGGCCTCTTGGGGGTAGTTTGGGGGCCTCTTGGTAAGCTCTTGGGAGCCGCTTGGGAGCCTCGTGGAGGCCTCTTGGGGCGTCCTGGGAGTCTCTTGCAGGCCTCTTGGGGCCTCTTGGGGGGCTTCTGCAGAGAGGCCCCTGGGGGCTTCCTGAGAGCTTCTCAGGCCGAGGGATCGAAATGTCCATTCGGGTGCCCCGTCTGGGCTCTCTCTTGGAGCTGTCTTGGGGGCCTCCAAGGCTGTCTCGGAGGCCTCTTGGGCGGTCTTGGGGCCCTCTTGGGTCGTCGTGGAGCTCTCTTGGAGGCCTCATGAGCCATCTTGGGGCGGTCGTGGATGCCTCTTGGCCTATCCTGGAGCATCGGGAAGCTGACAAGGCCAGAATGCTGAAATCTTTCAAACACTTACGGGAAGTCTAGGCTTTTTAGCCCCTTGGGGCCGTCTTGGAAGTCCTCTTGGAGACCTCTTGTGGCGTTTTGGAAACATTTCGAGCCGTCTGGAGGTTACTTTGGCGTCTTGGACCCCCCCCTGGACCCCGCTCCCCCCCCCCCCCCGGCGGGGAAGGGATCAAAGGGAAGGGGCTGCCCTTCGACTCAACTACAACGTTGCTCAATTTTGCTGTGGCTGGCGCGGATTCTGCCACACGCCGACAGGGTCGGCGGATTTACGTTCGATTCAAGTTCGATTCAAGTCGATGGACGTTCGACGCACCATCGACGCATGAGTGGAGCGAGTGGCCCCAGGAAGGTCCACCAAACGAGCATTTGACCATTGTGAGACATGTTCAAGCCCTCCTCCTAATCCGCCTCCCCTTCTCCTGCCTCTCCCTCCCCTCGTCCTCCACACTCCTTCCACTTACTGCTCCTCCTCCTCCTCCTCCTCCTCCTTTTTTTCTCCCCCTTAGTCTCTCCCTTCTCATCCTCGCTTTGCTCCTCCCTCAGTTTCCCACTTCCTTGGTCCCTCTTCTTCCTCCCCCCTTCCCCTCCCCTGCTCTCATCCCCCTCGCCGTGGACGTGCGGGTCAGCTCCTTGAGGGGAGGAGCGACGAGCCTGAGGACCCCGACTACTACATCAGGTAGTTGTGTCGCTGGATGCGAGGGATTCCCCTCTATAGCTCCCCCAGCTCGCAATCCGTCTCCCCACCCCCGTCGTCCTCCCCCGCCTGGCTTGCGGAGACGTCATACTTTGCACCTCTGGATTATGCTCGCGCGGTCTGCCGGCACTTCTTTGCCACATTGTGGCCAGAAATACTGTTTTTGTCTGCAAGGGCTTCCATCAGGTGTGCAAGGGACCTCCTGAGAGCGGAAAGAGGTACACCGTGTAAGCGTCTTTTGAGCGGCCTCCATCCTGATGACGAGTTCCCGTTTGAAGATATTTCCCCCCTCCGAGGCCCTGTCTGCTGCTTCGGGCCTCAAGCTCCAGAGGCGGGATTCGTTTGGGCCGTCGACCAGCTTGGCGTGCCCTCTGCCCAGGAGTGAAGCAGAGCTGGATCTAAGCGCTGTTTTGCTGGACTTCGGCTGTGTTTTGTCTTTCGTTTTTTTGGCAGGAAGGTACAGGAAGACAGGTAGGGCAAACCGACAAACAAGACGGAACCAAAACGAAGGACAACGTTTAGGTCCAGCCCTGGGGTGCAGTGACCAGTTAATTACAACCTTTCCAAACGTACGCTTTTGAAGGTCGGGACGGACTTTTTGGATTGGCGCTCGGCCCCCGGTCCAGCGCCGCTCCAAGAAGTCCGCACAGATCTCCGACAGTGTATGGTTATGCAAATGATTCCCCAGATAATGCTTGCACGTAGGGTTTCTTGCTGCAGCTGAGCCCGAGTGCCGGTCGGGTCGGCTTGTCGCCGTCCGTCGCTGGCCGTCGCCGCCCGTCGCCGCTGTCAATGGAGCCCGAGTGTCGGTCCAGCTGGCTCGTCGCCGCCCGTCGCCGCCATCCGTCGCTGCCCCAGTGCCAGTCCAGCTGGCTTGTCGCCGCCCATCGCCGCTCGCCGACGTCCGTCGCCACCACTTGTGCTCGTCCACTCGCACTTGTCCACCCTCACTCGTCCACTCGCATGTCATAGCAAAGCATGGCAACGTTTAGCAAAGCATTGCATTCCATAGTTGCATTGCTTTGCATTCCTTTGCATTGCTTTGCATTGCTTGTCGATGCTTGGAATTGATTTGCATTGCTTAGCATTCCTTGGCATCGCTTTGGTTTGTGCTGTATTGCTTTCCATGGTCCATGTGTTTGCGCTGCTTTGTATCACTTCGCATCGCTTTGCATTGTTTTGCACTGCTTGGAACTTATTGACGTTTCGTTGCAGTTCTTTGAATTGTATTGAATTGTTTTACATCGTTTTGCACGGCGTTGCATGGGTTTGCATTGTTTCAACTAGTGCTGCATTGATGCTCATTGCTGTAGATTGCTTTGCACGACATAGACTGCACCACATGGATTTCACCATCTAGATTGCACGACATGGATGGCACCACCTAGTTTGCACCGCATATATTGTAAGACATCGCTATGTTGGAAGAACGCTGGCTAACACTGTTCTTCTGAGTAAATCCACTCACTCCTCCCTGGCAGCAACTAAGCTCTACCAGGAAACACTTGGCCATGCTGAGCTCGGCCAGGCTGAACTCGGTCGGCTGACCTCGGCCATGCGGAAGTCGGAGGCGGAATTTGGCCCGAGCTGAGTTCAGCCTGGCCGAGCTTCGCCTGGCCGAGTCTTTCCTTTGTCCCCTTCCCTGGACATCTCATGCGGACGGGCCAGCACAAGCCAGCATGGGCGTGCTTGGGGTTTCGCCCCACCCTCCAGCCCCCAACGGGGCCCTGGGGTCCATCAAAGGGCGAAGAGGGAGAGGCAGGACCTACGGACATACCCCTCGGACATGTGGTGAGAGCACGGCCATGCGAGCGACGCAGAAAAACGGGGTCGACTGCGCCGACATTGGCGCGTAAGCTGCCCGCGTAAGGTCGCGCGTAAGCGCCCTCGCTTCCAGCGTAGCGTCCCGCGCTGGCGGCCCGCGTAAGCCACCGCGTAAGATCGATGGGCCATCTCGCGTAAAACGTAAGACCCGTTGTCGATCGTCGCTCGTGTGCATCTTGATGCGTTTCTTACGAAAATGATCCCTGAATATTTGGTGAGGACGCTTCAGGCGAAACGGCTGCCGGTCCGGGTGGTCTTGGGCTTCCCGTCCTTGTTGTAGGATTTCTCTTGTTAGAACCCTTGAGCGAAACGCATTTAAGTCGGCCGCGCGCAGAGTGAGGCGGGGGGAGGCGGGAGGGCTTCCTAGAAGCACCCCTGCTTCTTAGAGGGCGAGGCGCGGGCCTTATCTAGAGATGTAAGGCCGGCGCCTTCTAAGAAGCTTCCTCCTTCGAAGAAGCCCTCCCCCCTCCCTTCACCCCCTTGTGCGCGCCGCCGATTCGGGTGAAACTGCATGAACGTAGACTGTCAGAGCTCCGCGCGGATTTTTTAGCGGCGCTGGTCCTCCCTCCCTGGCGCGCTCTGCGCGCCAGGAGCGGCGCCAGTGGCGCCGCCAGGGAGGGTCAGCGCCGATCCAAGAAGTCCGCGCGGACTTCCGGAAGTTTATCTTCATTCCGTTGTGTTCCTTTGTGTTCAGAGGACCAATGCAAGGTCATGATAATGATGCGACTCAAGATTCCCTAGATTTCCCAGATCTCTTACCGTTCCGCTCGGGCTTCAGAAATGAGGGTCGCTAGAAGTTCTGGATTTTGAAACGTACCCTGAGCCAATTCTTTCACGAAATCGTTATCGTCCTATATACTTCCTTATTCTAGGCCTCCCAGATAGGGTCCGACTGGACGGGGTCGGACCATCGCTCCGCATCGCCGATGCATCGACGATGCGGCTCGATCTGGGGCCCGATGTTCGCCACGCCCGTGCATCGGCGATGCAGCGCGATCTTCCGACCCCTATCTACGCCGAGACCACCCAGGAGGCCTCTATTTCTCCCCCCTCCCCTCCCCTCCCCTCGTCCTCCCCAACAGGATCCGGCTTGAACAAGGAACACGCACTTTTCAAAAGGGGCTCGGTCCTTCCTCTGGTCTGCATGCATTCCGCTACCTCTTTGGCGGCGAGCCCCGTTCCGTCGAACTTCGTAGACTTACTTGAAAAATGGTGCTTCGTTTCTGGATCATCGTTCGTCAGGTCAGGCCGAAAACTGTATACTCTCCTCGCCCTCCCTCCCCTCCGCGGCGGAGCGGCGGCCGTGCGGGAGTGCCGTGCCGGGCGCGCGGCCGAAGTCGCGGCCTCGGCGGCTCGGACACCCCAGAGGAGGGAACCACGCTGGTGCCTCGTCTTCCCCTCCCCTCCTCCTCCTCCTCCCCCTCTCCTTGGTCTCCCTTCCCCTCCCCTCGTCCTCCCTCCCCTCCCCTCCCCTCCTCCTCTCCACAATTACTCAATATGAATATACTCTCCCTCTTCCCCTGATGGCGTCCGGGTGATAGCCGCGCACCCTCCGCGTACTGTTTTTTACACACAGGATGCCCGACAAATTCCGGGAAACGACTCTCGCTGAGGCGCCGGCGTCATTTTTTCTCAAAATGCTGCTCTCGCGCCGGCGTCATTTTTTCCCAAAATGCTGCTCTCGTTGAGGCGCCGGCCTCATTTCTGCTCCCGAATCCTTCCTCTGATGGCGTCCGGGTGATAGCCGCGCACCCTCCGCGTACTGTTTTTTTACACACAGGATGCCCGAAAAATCCCGGGAAACGACTCTCGCTGAGGCGCCGGCGTCATTTTTTCCCAAAGTGCTGCTCTCGTTGAGGCGCCGGCCTCATTTCTGCTCCCGAATCGTTCCGAATCGTGCTCCCGCTGCAGCGTGGGCCTCATTTTCGGATCGGTGTTTGGCCTCCGTCGTTCAGGATGGCGTTCTCGCCCCAGCGCGGGCCTTCTTCTCGCGCCCCGCCGCCCGCCACCGCGGCACCACCACCACCACACACCACCACCACCATACCACCACCACCACCACCACCACACACCAGCACCCATACCAGCATAGCACCAGTTCACCACCACCACCAGCACCACCACCAGCACCACCACCATCACCACCACCACCACCACCACCACACCACCACCACCACCACCACCACCACCACCACCACCACCACGACAACCACGCACACACGCACGCACGCACGCACGTGCACCACCACCCACTACGCACGCGCGCGCGGAGCCACAGGTCCGCTACGACACGCGTCCGCGGATAGAGAAAATCAGCGCCATGGTAAGGGATGGGAGGGAGGGGTAGGACGTCAGATATGACGCGAGCGCACCTAGCTTGTCCCCTCCCCTCCTCCCCTCCCCTCCTCCTCCTTCCCCTCCCCTCCTCCTCCCCTCCTCCTCCCCCTGTTCTCCCTGATTAAAGGATGGAGCCGCTCCGATATGGGCTGCGCACGGGTGTCCCCCGTGCATGCACGGGACTGCTGCTGGTGCCCCTCGTGTGTGAGGTGCCGAGCGGCAGCTTCGAGGGGGGGCTCTGCCTCCTCCCTCGCCAGCCCGACCGCCACCTCGGACTCTTGTGGGGCGCCTCTGCCCCCGCCGCCCCCTCGTCCTCCTCGTCCTCCTTGTCCTCACTCAGACCCTCCTCCCCTTCTTCTTCTTCTTCTTCTTCTTCCTCGTCCTCCCCGTCCTCCTCACTCGCCCCCGCGTCCCCTCGGCCTCCTCGTCCTCCTCGTCCTCCCTCCCCTCCCCTCGCCCTCCCCTCGTCCGCCCCTCTCTCCCGGCGCCTTGCTGCTCCAGGGGCCAATGCCCGCGGGGGGCGGCACGCGCCCTGGCGCAGGCCGCGGCGGCGGCGGCGCCCCTCTCGCCTCGTTCGCTCGCCGCCGACGCCGGCGTCGACGACGGGGCGACGTCGACTGCGGTCGACGACGACGACGACGACGCACGGCAACGACATGGACCTTCTCGGACAACGACGACGACGGAGGACAACGGTCGAACAATAGTAATTTTAACATCAAACGCACAATACACACATCAATACGGATCATATTCTTAAATTTGAAGATGAATGCCACAGTAATTATTATAATGATATAATACGGAAAACTATATAGCATAAGCATAAGCGTAAGTTGTTGGAGTTCCGCGCGGGTTCCTCGGGGGTTTGCGTTGGAGTTATCTGGCGGCTTCTCCAGCGCAGCCCCTGGCGCGCTCTGCGCGCCCGCCGAGCGGGTTCCAGCGCCGATCCGAGACATCCGCGCGGACCTTCAACAGTGTATGCCATGTCACTGTGTGTTCCCTTAAAGCGACGTCGACGTCGACGTCTGACAACGAAGGTGGACGACACCGGCGTCGACGACGGACGACAACGACGGTGTCTGCGGACGCGAGACGAAGGCGACGCCGACGCACGGAGGGCATGAGCGTCAACGAATGATGACTCCATGTCCGTCGTCGTCGTCCGTCGTCCGTCATCGTCATCGATCGTGGTCTTCGTCGTCTTCGTCATCTGTCGTCGTCGTCGTCGATGCTGTCTGCGTTGCAGCAAGTACGCAGAGAGCGTGGTCAGACAGCAAGATTACGACCAGGTGGTGCGGGAGCAGCCGAAACAGCTGGGGTGTGGCGCGCCGGACGCGCAGGCGTTCATGGTGGACTTCACGCCGGCCGCTGCTGAGGTGAGTCATCACGAGGCGCGCCAAGCGGCATGTTGTGGTGAGTGGCCCACGCGCTACTGCCTCGCGCAGACATGGCCAATGGCTACGGGTTCATCAACCAGAGCACCTGCATCAATGGCACCGTCAGGCTCAGCAGGCCTACTGCAAGGCTCGCGGCGGCGCAGTGGCAAAACGACACGGTGCAGGCATGGACGCGGCGGGACGGGGCATGGGTTGGGCTCCGCGCGTCGTCTGGCGGGCGGCAGGGCTCCGGGCTCGTGCAGTTCTTGCTCGGCGCGGGGGCGGAGGAACTGTGCGAGGTTTTTCTTGGAGGCCGGGAGCTTTCGGCAGCGGGCGGCGGCACTTGCGTTCACGGCGCGCCTGGGGTACCAGGACGATCAGTACGTTCTGTTGGAGACCTCTGGCGACGACGTGCACTGGCCTGGGGTGCGCGAGGCGTCCCGCGGGGGCGGCACGGAGATCAACGAAGTGAAGTTCTAGGTCTGGCTCTTTACGGCCGACGCCATGGGGGACGACGACGCTGTTCTGACCCCGGCGGAGAGGCAACTGGTGGCTCCGTTCCCACGTTCGCGGGGCGGCATTTGCATGCTCGGCGCCGCCGCCTTCAGCGCAGAGAACTGGGCTCCTGTCAGCGAGCCGAGTGTGACGCAGACAAAGGCGAGGGTGGAGCGCGCGCGGCATCTGCTCCACCAGCGAACGTTGGACTTCGCGCGCAAGGGAGCGGACTGCAAGGTGCGGCGCATGGCTTTTCTCATTGTCAGCCAGAGCGCGGAGCACACCATCGACTACGACCTCCGCGTGATGCCCTGCGAGTGTATCGAGCGCGTCGCTGGCGCGCACTAGGCTGCTGTGGAGGCCGCTGCTGCCGAGCTGTTCGGCGGCTGGAACGAGTGGGCCCGGCGCGTAGCAACGGTGCCGACGGAGTACGGCGGGCTGCCTTTCGCTGCGGACTGCAGCGAAGGAGGGGCGGCGGCTGCGTCGTGGGCAATGTGGTGCAGCGTTCTGGCGCGAGTGCCGGCGCTCGCGGGGAAACTTGGCGTCGCCCTGCGGCTCGACGAAATGCGCGAGGCTGCGCTGCGCACGAAGAAATACTTGCAATGGCATGGGTTGGCCGAGGAACACGGACGGCACCTTCCTCTTCGGCGTGGCGCAGCGTGCGGGGTACAACGCCGGGCCGTGGGTGGTGGACGCGAGCCTGGAGCAGCTCCTGCGGGCGCTGGCTCGCCAGCTGCGCCCCGCGCCCGACGAGCTGGATGTGTGCGATCAGAGGGCGCTGCTCAGCCAGGTCCAGAAACATTGGTCCAGAAACATTGGCGTGCACTCCAGGCGACGCGCCTGTGGCACGAGGCGCACGCGCTCCGCAAACTGGTCATGCTCAGCGCGGGGGGTCCCGGCGCGGGGTGCGTCTGGCGTGACATCCTTAGGGGAATTGCAGGCTTGTTCCCAGATGCTCATTTCGTCGCCATGCGTGCGCCTGGACCTCTTGGGAAGCTGCGGCGCGCTCTTGTGCTGTCACTGGCGATGGCACGACCGATGAGACGTGCAGGAAGCTCATGAGTGCGAGGCTACAGTACGCGTGGCACTGTGCCCAGCAGGGTGGCCGCCAGCGCACACGCCGGAGCGTCATCAAGGCGTTGGGCAACGCAGGCTACGCCATGGACGAAGAACGCCACGTCCCGGAGCTGCGTCGGTGGCAGCAGCCCGAACGTGCTGCGGGTTGGGGGCGGCCGCGGACGCCGACGTGCAAGGAGGCGAGTTTGGACACTGGCGCCAGCCGCCCGGGAAAGTTCCACCAGTGGCGGCTGGATGTCACGATCCGTTTGCCGCTCGCAAACTTTCCGGTGCCAACGGACCGGCAGGCGGCGGACCTCGCCAGCGACGAAGCGCGTGCTGGAGCAAAGGCAAAGCACGACGGTACAGCCCATCGGTGGCTGCCCTGTCGTGGGATACGCTCGGCCGGCTTCATGCGGCGAGCGCGGAGGCCTTGAGGAACTGCCGTGGCGCGTGGCTTCCGGCGGAGGCAACGATTGGAGGGTGAAAGAGGGGGTCTGCAACAGGGGGTCTTCAATGGGGGCTGAATGGCCCATGTATGCTCAATGTATCGCTCATGTATGTGAACGGGTACGATTGGCATCCAATGTTGGCGGTCATTGAGGGCCAGTCGTTCGTGCCCGCGCGTTGCCCGCGCGGGCACACGCGCCGTCCATCCATTATCGTTCATGCGTGCGGGGGTTCTTGCATATTGCGCGTGGGGCAGCGAAGTGGAGTGCAAGTGTGTCTTGATTGTGGGATTGATGATCGTGTATGTTCCCAAACGATGACTTCTCGACCCCCAAGACAGATTTGGAATGGGGTCCACTTTTCTCCCAAAATGTGAATTCACATTTTCCTTTTTCTTAAAATGTGAATTCACATTTTCCTTTTTTCCAAAATGTGAATTCACATCCTGGCCCCTTTCATAAAGAATCCTACACAAAATTCCAAAATGTGAATTCACATTTTCCTTTTTCCAAAATGTGAATTCACATTTTCCGTTTTTCCCAAAATGTGAATTCACAGATTGCTTTTCCCCACAATGTGAATTCACATTTTGCCCTGGCCTTCAAGATCCCCAACACTGAGGCGTTTTGTTCCGCATGTCAGATTGGCTGGGCAGATTTCGACACTCACCTGACCGCTTTCGTATGTTCCAGCCTTTTCTTTTTGCGCCCTCAGCGCACGTTGCCTTCGTCGCCTTTCCCGAGCCCCCCGCCCCCTTGCTTCCTTTCCTTTCAAGTCTCGCGCATTGGTGCAAGCGGGGGGCTTTCATTAGTTCCCCCGCCGACCACAGCAATCGAGGATGCATCGCCCATTCATGGCCCATAAAGACATCGTTGCCGGGGCCCTGCGGCCGACCCCCACTTTCACCCTCCAAAACGAGACCTTGCGCCTGGCGCGCGCGTGGACGGCGGTAGCGTGGAGAGCGAATCTGCACGCGGAGGCGGACGGCGCGCTGCTGATGTCGATGGTTTCCGAGGCAGGGGCGCACGCAGCTCCGCTGCAGGTTCCCCAGGCGGACGGCGCGGCCGCGGACCGCTGTCAGGGCGAGCGCCTGAGGTGTTTGATCGTTGTTGCGGCTGGCGGGGGCGGAGCGCACCAGCATTTGAAGGCAGGGTCGTAGTTAGTTGTTGCCGGGATTTCTTCGTAAGGGGTTGTATGATGACGACGGTGATGATGTTGATGATCATGTTGATGTTGTTGATGATGATGCTGCTGGTGTTGGTGATTCCGTTTATGATGATGATGTTGATGATGATGAAAATGATGATGATGCGGATGATGTGTATACTGATGCTGATGGTGGTGATGCTGATGATGACGCAGAATCTGGTGATGATGATGAAGATGATGATGATGACGATGCGGAGGAGGAAGAGGAAGAGGAGGAGGAGGAGGAGGAGGAGGCGGAAGAGGACGAGGTTGAGGAGGAGGAAGAGGAAGAGGAGGTGGAGGAGGAGGAGGAGGAGGGGATGAGGAGGGGATGCGGAGGAGGAAGACGAGGAAGAGGAGGAGGCCGATGACGAAGGGTATAGCCTGGAGCGCCGGCCTTCCTATATCGCATCGGAGCATTGCGGAGCCTTCGATGCCGCGGTCGAAGTCATACAGACGCGTCGTCTGGTTTTCCAAGATCCCTTTCGTGGCGGATCGAGGCGCTTTCATGGCAACGTACCGATGTATCTCCATCGCCGAGTTGGGCTTTCCTAAGGCGTTTGAGGGCCCCCGCCAAGGCCAGAAGAGCCCCGCGCGAGCACTCCACGTCGTCGTAGGTTGTTCGATGTTATTTGGGCCGTTTGGCGCCAATTTTCGAGGCGTCTTGGGGCCTCACCGGGGCTGCTCTGAACCTGGAGAATCGCCTCCGTTGGAGCCAGTTGGGGGGCTAAGGTGGACCGTTTTTCTTGGGGCCGATCCAGCGCAGACCCCGTGGCCGCTTCCAACACCTCCGCGCATTATCTGAGGAGTTGAAGGTGTTCGGGGTCACGCGCATCTGGGAGCTCCTCGCTCGGAGACTGTCGCGGCGGCTTTGGTTTCCTGATAATCACTTGCATGCTGGATGTGTCCGCCCAGTGGCTTATATTTTGTTGGAGGTAAGTTTCGAACGGAAGTTGGTTAATTGCATGGGGGGCGAGTGTGGTATAGAGCGCCGGATCTTGCAGGATCGTTCAGATCCAGGGGTGCTATGACCCAGGCTTGGGTGCAAGATCCTGCAGGATCCTGCGGGGTCTTGCAGGATCCTGCAAGGCCTGAGTGACCCGGGAAGGGAATGACCCGGTTCAGGATCCCCGATGCCTCCTGCAAGATGGAAGTTCCAATTTGTCACCATCAGAACTTCTCATCTTCTTCCCCCTCCTGCTTTCTTCATCGCCCCTCCAGACCCCCACATTTCCTCATCCCTTTCCTTCTCCGCTCTCCCCGACTCAACGCCGAGGATCTCAGCAAAGCCATCCTGCATCTACCGCACGGGTACGTGCGGCATTGCGTGACCGGCAGACGAGGAAGGAGGACGAGGAGGTGGAGGACGGCGAGAGGAGGGAAAGGCCGAGGGAGACGACGACAACCGACGATGCACGAGCATGAGGAAAAAGAGGGCGACGGCGAGCGCGACGACGACGCTGACGCCGACGACGACGACGACGACGACGACGACGTCAACGCCGACGCCAGCGGCGACGACGGCGACGGCGTCGACCCGCGGCGGCGACGACGGCGTCGAGGCCGACGCCGACGGCGGCGGCTGTGACGAGCGCGACGCTGCCGGCGGCGGCGGGGGCCGCGGGGGCGACAGCGTCGGCGGCGGCGGCGGCGAAGGCCCCTCGGGCCTCGCCGACCACGGGCGGCCTGCCGCGCGGGGCGCCCCTGCCGCCGCGCAGGCGGAAGGGGGCGCGTCGCGGAGGGGAGGGGGGGGGAGGAGGAGAGATGGCGAGGATCGGCCACGCGCAGAGGGGGGAGGAGAGGCGCGGAGGGGGAGGACATGGCGAGGAGGGGGGAGGAGGGGGGGGACGGGAGGGGAGGGGGGGGGGCGGGAGGAGGATGAGATGGCGAGGATCGGCCACGCGTGGAGGGGGGTAAAAGGAAAGGGGAAGGCTTCTTCGAAGCACCCCTGCTTCTTATCATTGAGTGTGCCGCTCTTAAGGTGGAACCAGACCGACGTTTGAACAAGCAGCCCATTGACTTGGTGCTAAGGCGCCGCAGGTGGATCGAGTCGGATGTTCGGTCCAGCTCTCACCATTGGTCGCTCTCTGAAGGTGTGTGGTCTTGTACGCTTTGCCAGGGCCAGGTCAAGGACACCGCCCCCTCTCTGCGAGCTCGCCTTGCTTCCACCTGCCTCGTCACATTGGAGGGAGGAGCGGGGCTGTGTGTGCGTGAGCGTGTGCGTGAGGGCGGTGGGGAGGGGGAGGTCTTCGAAGAAGTGGGCCCGTCCAGGCAGGCAGCTTCCGCCTCGAGACGAGTCCCTGTGGCGGTCCCTTCGCTTGGACCCCATGCCAATTCGAGTTTCTCCTTGGATTTCCGGCAAGCCTGTGCACCCCACGCACGTGCTGTGGCGTAAGGTCTCCTTTTACTTTTGTGGCGAGTGCGGGTCTTGGGCCAACAGATCTCCCGGTGCTTTCTTGAGGGGTCCGTGCCCTGCCGTCACGATCGGACCGCATGCTGTAACCAAGGCGCAGTTGGAAGTCTTGCAGAGGATTTGTAAAGGCTTCCTCCAGCCAAGACTGTCGCATCTTGGGCTGATGCTTAGTTTTTTTCTCCCTAGCGGCCAGTCCCTGGCAGGAATCTGTCCTTGGAGCCTGGGTGTTAGCAGTGCACTGTAAAAAATCCTCCTCCTCCTCCTCCTCCTCCTCCTCCTCCTCCTCCTCCTCCTCCTCCTCCTCCTCCTCCTCCTCCTCCTCCCCCCCTCCCCTGGCCTTGCTGCCCCCTGCCGCCCCCTCGAGGGGACGCCGTCGCGCGGGCACGCCCATGGCCCGCCGCCGCGCCAGGCCGGCCTCTCAGGCGACCGCCCCCCCCCGCCCCCCCGCCCAGGGGCAGCGCTCTCGGGGAGGATTCGCCCGGCGGTCTTCGGATCGGTAGCATTGGACCGATCCCCTTCGAGGCCCTCACCGAATTACTACCCCAGTTGGGGGTAAAACCCCTCGAAGCCCGAAGGGAATGGCCGATGTCCCAATCTAGGGGGGTAGATCGGCCAATGGGGCCCAGGCCACGCCGCCCCCGCCCAGGGGCAACGATCCTGGGAAGGATTCCAGGGAAACGAACCATTACATAAACAGAACAACTCGGAGGTTCGCGCGGATTTCTCGAATCGGCGCTCGACCCCCTTCCTGGCGCGTGGAACGCGCCAGGGGCGGCGCCTGAGGCGCCCCCATGGGGCCCCAGCGCCGATCTGAGAATTCCGCTCGGACCTCCGAGTTCTTATGTTTATGTAATTGTTCATTCCCTTAGATTCGGCTGGCGGTTTTCGGGGGATTCGCCTGGTGGTTCTCGAGGGCTTTTGGGGGGGGTGCTTCCGGATGCCCCAGGGGGCTGCGGCCGTCCGCTGCGCCTCGTCGACAGCGAGCGCCCGGGGTGTGCCCGGCTCGTGCTGGACGGCCGCAGAAGGGGAAGACAGCACACAGACGCAATTAATCGTCGACCCCAGGAAAACCGATAATATATATATATGTATATATATATATATATATATATATATATAATATATAGCTATGCATATATATATATATGTGTATACATCGAGAGAGAAAGAGAAATAGGGAAGAGAGAGAGAGAGAGAAAGAGAGAGAGAGAGATAGAAAGAAAACACAAAAACGCGATCCACCGCCGCTTTACTGTGGCAAATTCCCCCCCCTCTTCCTCTGGAGCCTGGGGGTTCCTCCTCCCCCCCTTTTCCGAAAATCCCCCCCTGCTCGAACCCTCCTCCCCCCCCTTCCTGTCCCCCAGCAAACCTCCCCCAACCGCCCCCCCCCCTCCGGAAAACCGGAGGGGCTCACTACCAGTTCGATCGGGAGCCTTGAGACGGGGTCAATGCAGACGGGGGTTAGCCAGGGCGCCGGCTCCTGCAGGATCCTGCGAAGACCCCCTCTTGCTGACCCTGGTTAGCGAGTCGCTCGTGACCGCGAGGCGGCCGCGCCTATTGGCTGACCCGGGTGTGCGAAGACCTGCGTTGCAGTTTGTTTGTTCTTGCATTGCAGTTTTTGGGTTTTCTGCTGACCCGGGTTTGGATGGACCCGGGTCAGAAGATCCCCGATTCGAACCCCCCCCCTCCCCCACTCGCCGCCGGCAAATGACTCCCCGGTCCCCACCACCGTCCTCACCACCGACCTCACCACTGTCCCCACCACCACTGTCCCCACCACTGTCCCACTGTCCCCACTGTTCCCACCAATGTCCCCAGTGTCCCCACCAGTGCCCCGACCACTGTCTCACTGTCCCCACTGTCCCCGCCACGGTCCCATTCTCCCCGCTGTCCCCACTGTCCCCACCGCTGTCCCCACCGTCCCCACGACTGTCCCACTGCCCCCACTGTTCCCGCCGATGTCCCACAGAGCTGTCCCACTGTTCCCACCACGGTCCCACTGTCCCCTCTGTCCCCACCACCGTCCCCACTGTCGCACTGTCCCCACTGTCCCCACCGCCGTCCTGTCCACCGCCCTCAGCACTGTCCCCACCACCACCGTCCCCACCACTGTCGCACTGTCCCCACTGTCTCCACCACTGTCCCACTGTCCTCACACCCCTGTCCCCACCACCGCCGTCCCCAACACTGTCCCTCTGTCCCCACTGTCCCCACCACTGTCCCACTGTCTCCACTGTTCTCACCATTGTCCCCACTCTTCCGGCCAGTGCCCCCACCAGTGTCCCACTGTCCCCATTGTTCCCACCATTGTCCCCACCACGGCCACCACTGTCCCACTGTCCCCACCGCTGTCCCACTGTGCTGTCCCACTGTGCTGTCCCACTGCCCCCACCGTCCCCACCACAGTCCCACTGTCCCCACTGGCCCCACCACTCTTCCCCCTGTACCACTGTCCCATTGTTCCACCGCCGTCCTCACCACCGCCTTCACCACTGTCCCCTCCACTACCGTCTCTACCACTGTCCCAGTCTCCCCACTGTCTCCACCACTGTCCCACTGTTCCATCGCCGCTGTCCCCACCACCACCGTCCCCACCACTGTCCCCACTGTCCCCACCACTGTCCCACCGTCCCCACGCGACTGTCCCCACCACTACCGTCCCCACCACTGTCCCACTGTCCCCACCGCTGTCCCAGTGTCCCGAGGTCCAGCCGGTGGTGACCCCCCCCTTTTCATGATGGACCAGGTGGGGGAGGGGGTTCGAACCAGTAGTGACACCCCCAGAGTTTCGAGGGGGGGGGACGGGTTGGAAGCCCCCAGTGGCCCCCCCTGTTTTCTGCCACAGCTGCAGAACACGCTCGTCCATAATTATCGTGCAGGAAAATGGGGGGGACTCCTGAGATCCGTGGGATTTTTTTGTGTGTCCCTAGGCTTAAGTCGGGCCTGTCCCTCTACATGAGAAAAATTCTAAAATAGTTTAAAATAGTCAGGGGGCGATTCTTTAGCATTTTTTGATTATTTAATCGCTTCGCTCATTCCGCCGGCCCAGGTAGCCTCATCTCTGCCGTTTGCATGCGGCGCAGCGAGGGTCTCTTGGCAGTCGTTCCGGGAGTCTATTGGAGGCAGTTTTCAAGCCTTTTGTGGTCTTTGGGGGCCTCTTGGGGGCCTCTTGGGGGTTTCTTTTGCGCTGAAGGCTCGGATTTTCGCATCGCGTTCCCCCTCTTGGGCGCTTCTTGGGCCGTCTTGGGGGCCCTTTGGTCGTTTTGGGCGCCTCCTTGTCCCCTCTTGGGGCCCTCTTGGGCTGTCCTGGGCGCCACTCGGGCCGTCTTGGGGCCCTCTTCGGCCGTGTTCGGCCCATCTTGGGGGCCTGTTGGGCCGTCTTGGGGCGATCTTGGGGGTCTCTTGGGCAGTATTGGACGCTCTGAACCCCCAAGAGTCGCAAATGCGAAACATGCACGTTTTCATAAGGAAGTGGGGCGATTTTTGGTTGTTGAGACCCTCGTGGGCGGCATCTTGAAGCTCTCTTGGGGCTTCTTGGCGGCGCCTTGGGCCGTCTGGAGGCCATCTTGGGCGTCTTGGAACGATCTTGCGGCGACCCAGGGCCTTTCGGACGGTTTCGGGCGCGTCTCGGGGCTCTCTTGGGGCGTTCCTGGGGCGCTCTGGAAAGCCTGGAAGGCAGCGCCGAGGAGGAAAACCATCTCTGGGACTCCGGGACCCACTTGGCCAGGACCTGCTCGGGGTACGTTTCGTCCGGGGGCCCCCAGGGGCCGCCCCGCGCGCGCGAACTAGAAGACTATTAGCCAGTTACCGGAGATCTTAGCACGCCTCTGGCCCGTTGGGCCGGCGAATATGGGGATATGTTTTGAGTATTGTTCATTTTTCGTCCAAGATCCGCCTGTAGGGGGACGTGGCTGACCTAACCCTAGGCCCCTTTTAGGAAGCCGAGTTATGACCCTGGAAAATAGGGGGGACTCCTGGAATCTGGAACCTCGCATCGTACAGAAAAATAGGGGGGAACTCCTGGAATATGCGTCGATTTCTGTGTGTGTATGTCCCTGGGCACCCTTTTTAGGAAGCCGAGTTGTGATCCGAAAGCCACGGGGCGGCGAGCGAGGGGACGGTCTCGGGGGGTGTGTGGGATGCAGCGGCCGTCTCGTCGAGCAGGGGTGCCGCTGGCTCAGCCCGCCCAGGACGTGCGGCGTCGCTACCGGGGGCCCAGCGCTCGCCGATTCCAGCTCGACGATGCCCCCTTCTGAGTCAGGGGCAACGGTAGGCGAGGATAAAGCATATGTGGGGATGCATCGACCCCCAATCGCCCATTGATCGCCGATAGGGATCCGATAGCCCCACCCCGCCCAGGAAGGTGCGGATTCACGATCGGGGGCTTATCGCCGATGTATCCACGATGTATCGCCAATTCCAGGTCGATGCATCCCCCCTATGCCAGTCCCCCCCTATCGTTTCCCCTCCTGAGCCGGTCACCCCCTACAGGTCTTCCTCCCCTCGCTGGAGATATCCAGTGCCACTCGTCGCTTGCGCGGCGGCAGTGCCACGGTCAATGTAATGCCTCTGTTGGCAAACGGAGCTTCTTGGCGGCATTTTGCCCACGCCGCGAAGCTGCCCAGCCTGATGCGGTGCAGTCTGAATGCGGTGCTTGGCCACATCCCTTTTCTAGCCCAGTGTCAAATGCTTCTCCAGGTGCACGACTTCTTGCTGCTGCTGCTGCTGCTGTCCCCCCATGGCTAAAGTTGGACGACGACGACGACGACGAGCCCTCAAAAAAGTAGCGACGGGAGAGTCCCTCCTGGGGAGCTTTTTACCTGGCCCCGGAGCCGCGCCCTCAAACAAGTAGCGGCGGGAGGGCCCTTCGTGAGGAGCCCCTTACCAGGCCCCGGAGCCGTCAAAAAGCACGACTCAGGATGAGGAGCCAGTCCTCGAGAAGGGGCCTTGACGTCTGGGGAGCCACGGCGAAAAAATCAAGACATCGGATGTCCTGAGGCAACGACCGCGACGGCGGTGATGCAGTGCGATCCTCTGACCCCGTCTGCTCCGACTGGGTCCGGGCGGCCTCCAACGACGACGAAGACGGCGACGACGGTGACGACGACGTCGTCGACGACGATTACTACGACGACGACGACGACGACGACGACGGCGGCGGCGGCGGCGACGGCGGCGACAACGACGACGACGACGACGCGGCAGCATGGCGGCGGCGCATTCTGAGCTGGCAGGGCGTGGGGAGTGATGTGTTGCCTCGGGCTCGGAAGGGGCTCGGGGTTCCACAGGGTCGCTTCCTGGAACGATTCTCGCTCCATCCGTGCAATGTTTGTTACCAGCTATGGCCGGCTCTGGGCCCTCTTGTGGGCTGCTTGGGCCATCTCGGGCCAGTCTGGGGGGGACCTCTCGCGCCGTTTCTTGC